CCCGCTCTCACCGTGGCACCACTGGAACGGAGGCATCCGGCAGCCGCTCCGCGGGGCCGGGGAGGCTCGGCCGGGCCATGGCCGGGAGCGGCCGTGCCCGCAAAACCCCGCCCCGGCCCCGGCAACCCCCCCGGAGCCGCCCCCGGACCGCCCCCGCCGCGACACGGGGATGGCACGGGCTGGGGGTCCCCGGGGGACCGGACACGCAATGGGGTCCCCTCCCTGCGCATCCCACGGGTGTCCCTGCGCATCCAGGGGTGTCCCTGAGCATCCCACGGGTGTCCCAGCCCTGAGCATCCCACGGCGAGTGTCCCACGGAACAAATCCCGCCCCATCCTCTGGCAGCAGTGCTCCCACGCGGGATCCAGGTGGGCATTACCTGCCTCAGGTGTCACCCGGCTGGCGCCCAGCCCGGCCTCGGGCATGGACCGGCCCTTTGGGGGAAGCCCAAACCTCCTGGAGGCTCTCAGTCTCAGGTTTGGGATGTGGTAGGCTGGATATTCATGGAAGAGGCTGTCCAGCCCTGGCACAGCTGCCCAGGGCAGTGGTGGATCCCCATCCCTGGAGGATCTAACAGAGAGGTGTGGCCCTTGGGGACAGTTAGCAGAGCCCTTGGCAGTGCTGGGGGATGGCTGGGCTTGATCTTAGAGGTCTTTTCCAACTTAAATGACTCCATGATCAGCATCTCCCTCCACGCTGAGGCCCCTGCAGGTGGTTATGACCATGGGGCTCCCCTCCCTGGGTGTTTACAGGATCCCAGCCCAGGCTCCAGCCGTGCTGCTCCGGCCGCTCTCCGGAAGCGCAGGAAGAATGGAGCTATAATGGGAGCTGGAGGACAATGAGTGCTGGGAGCGTGTGGGGCACCCTGGGGCCACCCTAGCCACTCACACGCCCGCTCCTGGCCTTGGCCACCCTCCTAGGCTCGGCCCAGCACTCAGGGAAGGGGTTTGTCACAGGGATTTGTTTGGAGACCGACGTGGGCACCTCGTGCTGGGTGGAGCCCCTGTGCCTGCCAGGTGATGCTCTGCCACCGACTCCTGTGACAGGTCCCAACCGGAGCTGTTCCCAAAGCAGAGGGGTGGCCAGGTTTCTCCTTAGCACGGGCTTTATTTTCACGGGGTGACACGAGGCATGGAGAACACCCAAACACAAGGACGAGGGGCCGGGTTGGCCGAGCCCACACACCAGCCCTGGTTCACGAGGCTACACACACCGAAAACACACAGGGGAACACGACAGGGGACACAGAGAGCTTTGGTGTCCTGCGAGGGAGGGGCAGGACTGGCTCTGCAAATGCATTTCCAGGAGGGAGAACGAGGCCTCGGAGGCCTCCTGGAGCCCACAGGGATGGAGTGACCGGTGAGGTGGGGCCGAGTCCCTCTGGAGGCATCTTGGAGCGAGCAGGCTGGGAGGGAGGCTCTGGTTAGGCCTGGCTGGCTGGCAGGATTGCAGGTGGAGGGTCTACGCTGGACCACTGGGGATAGCTGGCAGGGCTGGGCACGCCCTGGGCTCGGGTGACCCACAAGCCTGGTCTGAGCTCAGCAGGCAGGAGGTGGGCACTGCTCCCACCACAGACAGCATCCCTCCCGCTCCTCCTCCTCCTCCTCCTCCTTCAGGAGCTCCTCTTCAGCCTCAGGGCATTGTCCAGGGCCACCAGCTGGCGCAGGAAGCCGCGGTTGGGGATGATACCGCGGTGGTCCTTGACGGTCTTTATGGCTTCCACCAGGGGCATGTGGTGGCGGATCATGAGGTAGGCGAGGACCAAGGTGGCCGACCTGCTCACCCCGACGGCGCAGTGCACGAGGATCCTCCCTGGGGGGCGGGGAGGGGAGGGGGCAAACAGGGGCGCTGGGTCATGGCACAGCACAGACCCCAGCCGAGAACCGGCCCCGGGAGCAGGGACCCAGCCTCCCCCTCGCCACCCCTGCTCCCCACGGCCACACAGGACCCCCTTCCCCCCCACGGACCTTCGTTCAGGGCCTGGTGGATGAAGTCGGCGGCGGGGTAGAAGTAGGGGCTCATGTCGAAGGAGGGCGAGTCGTGGGCCTCGATGCCCAGGTAGCGGATCCCAGTGCCCTCGTAGTACTCGGCACCCCCCCTCCACTTGCTGTGGGAGGCGTTGAGCACGTGGGTGATGCGCAGGTGGGCCAGCTCCCGCCGGTTGGAGGCTATATCTCTGCTCAGGGGGCACACGGGGGACAGGTTAGAGCGTTTCATAGTCCCCAAAGGCTGTCCCGCACGAGCATCCCCGCCTGAGGGAGGTGGGCATGGAGGGAGAACACCAGGAGCTGGAGATTCTCGAGTTTTAGGCCAATCTCGCAGTTCCTGACCCCAAACACACCAGCAGGATACAACTTCCTTGTGAGGGGAAGAAGAGGGGCAGGCACTGAGCTCCGGGGACAGCACCCAGGGAACGGCTGGAGCTGTGTCAGGGCAGGCTCAGGGTGGATCTCAGCAAAAGGTTCTTCCCCCAGAGGGTGGTTGGCACTGAACAGGCTCCCCAGGGCAGTGGGCACAGCCCCAAGGCTGCCAGAGCTGCAGGAGGGTTTGGATGATCCTCTGAGGCACAGGGGGTGACTCTTGGGGATGAGCCTGTGCAGGGCTGAGGGTTGCACTGGATGGTCCTTGTGGGTCCCTCCCAGCTATTCTGTGATCCTGTGAACTCTCTTCACAGCCCTGCTGGGAAGGACTTCCAAGTCCTCCTTCCTTTCTCCCGGTGTTCCACACTCGCCACATCCTCCTCTCCCTCCTCTTCCCGACTTTCCCCCTCCCAAGATTCCCCCATTCCCCCAGAGCCGCCCTGCCCCGTTCCCATACGTACTGGTCTCCCAGGTAGAGCCCCGGCCACACCTCATCAGCGTGGTTGCAGGCCGTCTTGCCCGTGTACAGGAGCCTCTCCAGCTCGAACACGCTGAGGATGGGGTGCCCCCCGCGCTCCTCCCGCGGGGCCCGGCTGGGGGACCTGCTGCTGGCCCTGTAGAACCTGGACAGGAAGGCCATGGGAGCTGCCGAGAGCCACAAGGCATACCTGTGGGGGCGAGGAGGCCGAGCGGGGGCCTGGGGGTCACCTCTGCTGCTGCTGCCACCCACGGTCCTGCCAGGGAGAGCAGGGGAGATGCCATGAGGAGAACTGGCCCCTCAGTGCCAGGGGGGACACCGAGGGGCTGGAGCGTGTCCAGGGAAGGGAACGGAGCAGCTGAGGGAGCTGGAGGGGCTCCCAGGGGACAAGGGACAGGGGGAGAGGGAATGTCCTCAAGCTGTGTCAGGGGAGGGGCAGGTTGGACATCAGGAGGAATTTCTCCCTGGAAAGGGTGGTCAGACCTTGGAAGGGGCTGCCCAGGGAGGTTTGGAGTCCCCACCCCTGGAGGTGTCCAAGGAAGGACAGGACGTGGCACTCAGTGCTCTGGGCTGGGGGACGAGGTGGGGACAGGACACAGGCAGGACTCCATGAGCTGGGAAGGCTCTTCCAACCAAACCAATCCTGGGATTCTGCGGTGCCGTAACTGGGGACCTCTTTGCTCCATCCCTTTTGCAGAAACACTGGCCAGTTCTCCCCCTCCCGATGCCAGCTCAGCCACCCACCCAGCGTGAGGCCGACTGAGCACTCCCTGCATCCCTCCCAGGGAGGAAAACCGCTGGGGAGAAGCTGGTGCTGCCAGGGCTGGCGAGGCAGCCAGGCTGCCGAGTCTCCACAGGCTGAGCTCTCGCTCCAGCCCCACGACTTTGGGCTGAGGCCACGTTGGCAGGAGATGCCGTGCACAGGACCACCTTCCTTCCTGCCGGGCCCTGGGGCTGCCAGCTCAGGGCTGGTGCTGCCAAAGCCGCGCTCGGCGGGCCAGGAAAGGCAGCCAGGGCTGGGCACAACACCAGGGCTGGGGAGGAGAAAGCCCCAGACAGGTGGAGGATTCCATATGGCACCAGGCAGCCTGGCCAGGGCCCAGGCTCCTCCAGAGCCCTCCGGGGAGAGAGAGGCAGGATTAACCCCTCCGTGTACGGCACTGCTGCTGCACCAGAACAGCCACAGCAGGGGCTGGGCTGGGCTGGGAAGAGTTAACTCCAGGGGATGAGAAGGCTCGTTTTACAGAGCAGCTCCTCTAGGACACAACAGCCCTGCTCCCAAGCCTTTGGATGGTCGGGATGTTTGTCACACATCTGCAGGAGCCCTCCCCCTGGGAGGTCACAGTCCCTGCGCCCAGTGTGGTCAGAGGGGCTTTTTTGTGCTGGCAGTCCCTCCCACGGGGACCAATTCTCTTTCTCCCATCACTCTCACCCTGGGGGTGCCCAAAGAGCCTCCCCACACACCCCCCAGCCCAGCCCAGCTGTCCCTGGGGCTGGAGAGGAACACAACGACCTTGGGCTGCCCAGGCTGGGTCAGAGCCTGTCCCTCCCGAGGCACCAGCCAGCGGAGCAGAAGGAAGGAGCCTCCAGCCATTTCTTGGCAACGTGCAGAGAAAACCACTGCAAGGACATGGGCGAGCTCAGAGGGAGCCCAGGGAGACTCCTGGGTGTCTCCTTCCCCATTCCAGGGGGACATTCCAGACCCCCGGGGCAGCTCAGCCCTGCCCAAAGTGCTCATCCCTTGTCCCCCAGCACAGCACACACCCAGATCTCACCCTGCCCTGGACTCCTCCACGCTGGGAATTCAGACTTGGCAAAGCCCACCTGGGAAGGGCAGCGGGCAGGGCCCTCAAACCTTGCGTGACCTTGGCTGCAGCACAGCCAACATGTCACCAGCGCTGAGAGACGAACAGCAGGGGGGTCTGGAAGAGCAACTGAATCACGCAGAGAGCTGGAGCTGGAGGAACTGCAGCCCCCCTTCCTG